CGCAACGTCAAAGCTCCCAGAACCTGTCCAGTGCACAGCTAGGCTTTAGGTTGTTGACACTGTCATACATCTAGTGTAACCCGCCCCTACCGTTATGCGTATCCAGTATGACTTCGCTTTTTATCTATTTAGCTGACCTGGCAGACGTTCTTTTGCCATGTTAAGTATATCGATCGAAATTTCATTGCGATTCCTGTGAGTTAATCTTAAAAGATAGATATGCCGTCGTAATTTTCTCCGATTTCCCCCATCTTCCTCTGTCGCTTGTGCCTAAACCTTCATCGATAAATGGTCTAACCAACATAAAAACATTATTTCTATTCGGATAGGTACTTCATGATTTTTTAGTTTCATAATATATTTTTTATGGCAGTGGAGGACAGACAGGCTTAGGGTTCACCTGATCGTTCATGACACTCCCCCATATAATATTTAAACAAGCGCTGTCGGTCTATTTTGACTTTGGATATTCGGAAATCTTTAGGTTGCCTCAGATCGCTTGTAAGCGATAAGGCCGCATATTACACTCTATTCTAGAATATAAGATATATCGGTAATATTTTTTTACCCACCCGAGCCCGTCCTTTTATTATTACTATAGCTTCCTATCAGACGATTATGAGAACCTGTCGAAAGGATCTCGTCCTTGCGAAATATCATAATTTGAGTTCATATAAGACCGAAATATATAATACAGACGAGAAATCCTCAAATTCACTCGAGCGTAAAGATCAAACAGAAACGGCGGGCTAAGTAAAATCCACATAATAATTATGAGGTTCCACAAAAATTTCTTCCTTGACCCGATACAGGGCACTCGACCCTTGCTCTTTCTTGAGGATCTGAAAGCGACCAACTGATCAATATAAAATTCATCGCATTCGAAACTTTATGATGTGAACGCAGTAAAATTGCTTTTACAACTCACTTCAAACTTAGATGTGATGAAAACTCTGAAAAACTGAGTTTATGGAGGAGTATTTTTCTGGAGCACGTTGGCCTAATTAAGTAGTCATTATCTTGGTGGTTTGGACTCTTTATAGACACCGAAGCCGAGTGTTTCGACGGTTTTGACTAGAACTTTTTTAATTAAGCCTTCTATGGTACAAAGGAGGACAGGCACAAGCCCTGACATAGAACAGGTAAAAAAAAAGGGGCAACCTTGAAAAATTTTGGCGTTGGAAATTTGGTAAACTGATCGTGAGTTATATACTGCTATATTTATGCAACGTTATACACGTTTTATATAACGATTTACCGTTTTATTTAAAGCGTTGTATGACAGGGTAGGAACCAGATAACCAAGATTGATGATATTTTTGATAATCTGCTAGTATTTTAACTTACTAATATTTTGCGTTTTAAACCGTTAGACCGTATTTAATCTGTAAGTACATTTTAAAAAATCGAAAATAAATTTAAACAACTCACTCGCCAGGGCTACTAACATCACTTTCAATTAATTTATTTTCGATTTTTAAATTATATAATTATAGTGCCTTCATGTGCAATAACATGTAAAAAATATTAATATTTTCAAGTAGTAAATATACATACTAATCTAGAATTGTTAGTTATTATCCGTGAATATCTAGGTTAACAAAATCAATAAAAGAAAACTATCTGTATGTTACAAGTAGTTCTATAGTTTTCTCTTTAAAGAATCCAACGCAATATGAATCCCGTTTTTTCAATAGCTTTCAACGGATAGTAGGTTTCTCTACGCTCGCAATACCAGTTGTGAAACAAATTAAGGCCTTTAGATATACACTTAGATTAAATAAAACATTTTTAACGGTTTAAATTGTGAAATGCTTCAGTTAATTTTTACTTTAACTACGACGTTTCGTGAGGTGTTTAAAATGTTTTTTTATAAAAACCAAATGCGTAATACAAACAATACGTATATGGAAAAATAATATTGTATTGGGTTCCGTATAATATTAAAATTCATATTTTTTAAATGATAGTAGACGGCATGCGGTTCACTTCATGGTAAGTGATATAAACCCAGCCTAAAGCATCTAAACAAGATGTGCTGTTGCCCTATTTTGGCTTTGTTCAAACGAACGCATGATTCAGAAAAAATGTAAATTGAAATATGAAAACATTGGACCTGGTAGGGGTGTTTCTAATTTTTCAAATTGAACCCACGACCCGTTGACCATTAGTCATACATTGCTACCATGACGAGCCCGTCGTCGGATTTAATATAAATGTATATATTCGAAGCGTAAAACCTCGAAGAAACATCCTCGGTACACGGAACACTTTAGCAAAGTACAAATATTGATCTTGCGACCGATATTCAATAAAATACAATTCTATTCCACAATGGTATATGAGAAATGAATGGTACGGCAATAATATTTGCAGCGGCCGGAACATCTAGGTCGACGACAATAACTTTGCGAGTCCCTACAGTGGAATACGTCTCAATTTTTGCGCCCCGGGCGTATATAATTTAACTCATGAAAGCCCTAAAGGAGGAAGTTTGGACGCGTTTTCTGTTTTTAGCAGGAGTTGATAACTCCGCGATGTGTGACCGTTAGGTGGGCAGTAATTAACGCCCGTTTGTGACCGTCCATTTATGTAATTAAATGTGCGGCAAATACAACTCTTTCGACTTAAACAAATAGACATAATATATACCCGGTAACAATAGCGCAACAGCATAGAATTCCATTAATCTAAAATCGATTTTTAATCTAGTGACGAAATATCTTCAAATTAAAACTAAAGTCTATGAGTGAGTTCGCTTGAAAAATTTATTTATAGCGTTAAAAGTCTTCGTATTGTGAATAATATTGATGCTACCCCATTTCTTTGAAAGTCGAATGCTTGAGAAACTTCTTTAAACCATTCATCGATATTATCGGAGAAAGAAATTCAGGTTCTTTGTATTCTTCGTCATAAATCGATCAACGCAAAAAGTAATCCCGGATCTCCAACAAATATACTATAACCTTCCTTTATGGAAATTCAATTAAATTTATGAATACAGAAAAGAAAACACGGCCACAATGAAAACTTTTCATTCACAATTAGAAAATTGCTTTTCGATAAACGTCCTCGTAATACAACCTTAGAGAACAAAATTACTCCATTTAAATTTTGTAATGGACAAAGTTCAATTTTCGGGAAATTGATTATGAGTATTTCAAATGGTGGAATTAATGTTCATTGGAATCAGATTTTAGACGATAGATACATACTGGCCTAATAACATAAAACAATATCTAGTTAGACCCACTCGTAATCTCGGAATGATATGCTGTACTTATAAACCTTCATAAATGTAACGAAGTAAACTAGAATGTGCTGCTAATAAACAGGTACACAGCCTGATTACACTGCCTCAAAATCGTACTGCCAAGTATGTACTTATAGGAACATTTTTGTTTGTCTTTTTTTCTATTTTGGATTTTTTTCTTCACACAATTATCGAGCTGGATACCGGATATGGAATTTCAGCTTTCTAGGTTATCTGGATGTAATGGTTAGGTAAGTCAGTCAATAGATTTTTTTACGATTTCGACGTTCATATCTTTGAAACCTTTGTGTCCTTATGGATATGATTAAACTTACCTAGTTTCATATGTTTCCGTTAAATAGGTTTAAAGTTACAAAGGGGTCAAAAGTGGCGCGAAATGGTTCGTGTAAAGATACTCTTAGCACTGCCTAGCTAGTTCATTTACTTGATTTCGGCTTGCCATTTGTATTGTACAGTTTTAAAATCCTGCCCCCCCAATAAAAATATAATTTCGATCAAAGCTCACTACTACTACTTAAAAAAAAGCCCGATACAATTTATAATCTGGGGGTAGCGGGGGGTAATAGTAGTCTATAAATGTGTAATCTATAACTAATATAGTAATCTATAACTATAGATCAGTAGTAATCATAACCAATGTTATTAATTTGTTGAATTGGAGAGTATATTTTATGTTGTGTTCATAAAGCCTACATATAAAGGTATTGGTAAAGTATGTAGAACGTTTCAAATGCACCAATTTATTTCGAATTCTAACAAAGTTATATAGATAGAAGCGATCCCTTAGGTGCATCAATCTAGAGCGAGCTTTAGCCAACCCAGACAGTTGCATCGGTTTGTGGAATTGTGCACTGTCTCTCGCGGCAATAAAGTGTAAAACTTTACTTTGCTTACAAATCGTCGTTGATAAGTATAGTCTACTTTTTATTTCAGTAACTTAGCTACATTCTTTATAATATGGAATCTTAGCATTCACAAATTCGAAACAATATTTCCTTTTTTTTAGCGTCTTTATTACTCAAAGCTAAAACTCAAACTCTCATAGTACTAAGAAACGAAGAAAACGCATCTAAATAAACAGAAAATAAAGCAAATACACATGGGTTTAATTAAAAGACATATTTTTAAACCTCGAGTCGTTGAAAGTTTTTGCACTAGATAAACTTGTTTATTCGTTCCCTCGAGTGTCGGTCGCTAATTAAAATTTCTCATTCCAACAAGCAACAGTATGAATTTATTAAAGCGTCGCAAATTACTTATTAACGCACAAAATAAAAATTGAGAAACTCGAGTGCTGTAAATATGCAAATAAAAGTCGACTTTTCTTTGACATAAAAGTATAGACATCTAAAAAGAGCTACTCGAAAGCGGATATTAAAAAGCAGACGAGGCAAGTACTCACCTCCTTGACAGATGTAAATGAGACCGGCCGGTTAGCGTTCGCGCTCTACGTACACTTCCACAGCTTTACAATCCGGAATCAAATTCACCCACAATACTCGGTCAGTTATCCACAAAGTTCGAAATAGTCTTACTTACACAGCGAAAAACTTTTATTTACAAATCGGTATCGGCGACAAACAGAGCGAAAGTAAATACAAAGTACGTTTCCTGGGGAAAATGTGAAATAATGAAGTGGTGAGGAATTGTGGCGCGTTTTCGCCTGGGACGCGTTAAGCCCGAGTTAGTACCGGTGAGGCTTGGATACGTCACGGACAGGAGAGGTTCAGACACACGATCGAGGAGAACGCGTCGACGTGAGTGACGCGGAGTTGGTTCGAGCCTCCCGCCCGCCTAACGCCGCGCGCTCTCGCGAGCAAAAAGGATGCAGCGAGCGACCCTCGCACCAGCGAATATCGCCGCTCGGATGTTCTCGCCAGAGTCTCAAGTGCCCTCCACTGTTGGCACCGCGCGCTCGCCGAGGGAGGGCTCTGCACCCCTCACTGCCAGAACGGCCTATAACCACCGATAGACGTCAAGCAAATTTGAACCTTATATACCAATATTTTGATCACGATTATGCGTGGCAAGCTCGAGATGAACACCTGACGTTCGCCGTCACATCGAGGAGCATATGCCCCCGTTGGCTAGGTGTAGCAAATACCATAACGAATACTTTGGCTGAACACGCGTCATATTATGCAACGTTACGATCTTGTATTGTGCAGTTCGAAATTTTTCTTCTTTCAAGAGCATGCATGTGGCTGCTTTGTACAGTGCGTTTTATTAAAATTTATTTCAAGAAGCTTTTATTTTTAAATTTACCGTGTAACAATGTTTTTCAGTTAATAAAATTGTTTATTTATTCTTATTATAAGTCACATATGTATGTAGGATCCGAATACTGATGTACACAGCATTATCTATATAATTATATTTGAATATATGTAAGGTAACAGCGAAGACGAAATTAAATAAAATGTCATTGTCGTAAGCGTAATATGACAAATAAAGATAAATATGGAATACTATAAAGTAAAGCATAGGATAATAATCATTTGCAATTACCTAACACTACTATTTATTGATAGAAAGTCCGTGATCTTTTTTTATTATTTGTTATGACCTTTCAATTTCAATGATTTGCCAGCCAACCTCATAAGAGCAAGTAGGATGACTTATATGTGACACCCTTTTGGGAACCACATCTATTTTACCTAATCTGACGAGGGCAATATTTCCTACTCAAATACAACCGCACACAAAGGCGGACAAAGCTTTTACAATATATTTGGAGGGATTTAGTGCACGACTGCATATTACTAAAGTTCACATCTATTCAACTTCAAATAATTTCACCGGTCTATAGTACTGTAAAATACACGTCAAACTTAGAACAAGTTTTAACAGTATAAAGATGTGTATAACAATTAATCTAATATAAAATAAAGTTTAACTATTATATATCTCGTTTTAAACCGTTAAAAGTGTTTTATTAAAGTATGTAATCGTATAAACTATAAACCTATTCGACCTAATAACATGAATTTTTCACTTAAGACAATAAAGATAAAAAGATGATGAATGATTTCGATATTCTAATCATCACTTAGTTAATAAAAGGTAATTAGGTTGGAATTCTAATCATATCATTTTTCGCTATCGTTCGTAAGAAAAAAAAACACTCTTCTTAGACTATTATCTACATCTTAATTAAGCGAGTATACAAATATATGTGCAGTATTTTGCACATAATTCGTAGAACAACAGTTGTAGAGAACGTTGATACACGCGTGACTTTGCATCACGCCTTCCAATTTGTATCGATGCAAATCGATCACTAATATCCACTTCTAACGCATCAACAATCAGTATCCGCTAATAGCTACAATAGCATAATACATTGACAAGCTATTTAGAAGTTACTATTAGTAGCTTGAGAAATAATTGTATCTACCTAAAAATATGAAAATAGTACATTGTTTATTGAGACAGCAGGGTGTGATTCAATTGAAGGGTGAATATCGCAGCATATTTAGATATTTAAAAACTGAACCAAAAACAAAGTAAAAGATTTACACTTCAAGCCTATTAAGTCTGTACCGTGGATATTTTTACCATCCATTTAATGTTGACACGCCACGGTGTACCAATGTTAGAAAAATCCGAAAATAATAATAATATATACTTTTCATAAATAGTATTAATATGATAATTTTAGACTTACGTAACTGTCTTATTAAATAATTAAACACAAATTTTTAATAAGCGACGTTCACAGAAACATTACGGAGCTACTCAAATAACATAACTGCCATTTTGTTTTCTGAGAAATCTACAATACTTTTGTGATCATTAGCAAGATCACAGAGATCCAAAAAATTGTTGAAACATTAATAACAATTTCTTAGTGTGTCTTTGAAGATCACTTAAACAGTTTAAAACGCGACATAGATTAGTTAAACTTATTTGAAAACTATTTTAACTACAGCCCGACGTTTCGGATGCTTTGCAGCAGCCGTGGTCACGGGGAGACTAAAGATGGAGGATGTCTCTGATGTCTAGTATTTGTATAGTTGGTATTTGGCCGTAGTTAAAATAATTTTCAAATAAGTTTAACTAATATATATAGCGCTTTAAACTGCCAAATTGTTTTATGTAAATGTTTACTATTCGCGTAAACTACAGACAGTATTAAATACTATTACTCGCGTTTTAAACCGTTTTAAAGTGGTCTTTTCAAATAGACAGTAATAGTTTAAGTCTGGATGCTAACACAACAAATTCGGCATCGAATTCAGGTGATCTATTTAGAAATGTAAACCGATCTATTATTGAAATGTAAACCGAAACACAAAGCTTGGTGCTTATCGAGGCACTTCTATTCAGTATGCCTTTACCTTGACTGCAATATCGCTCTAGTGGAAATTATTGCTTCACTTAATTCACAACATTGTTTACTGTGAAGTGCCCATCTTGCTTAGAAGCATACCTTAATGTAACATTTCATGTTTACAACTTTCGGAGTACTTGCGTACTGCGGTTGCTTCATGCAGAACTCATTAAACACAAATTACTGTGCAACATTGACTGGCAGTTTGGTCCAATGGTAGCACTGTATTGTTAATGATCAGAAGATGGTGGGTTCGATCGCCATCGGGTCAAACTTATTTCTAATTTTTCAGTACGTCCACAGATGAAAAATCCAAAACGTTTAATTCCGTTTCTGTTTCAGTCGGTGGATTTCCGAATAAAATCCAAAATGGGTCGACAGCGCATTTTGTTTGGATGCTATAGGCTGCGGTATTTCATAGACTGAATCTCAAGCTTGTCTGTCCTTCTCTATCATTATATAAAAAAAAAATCAATTGTATGAATGCATGTTTAGATTATAATGGTGTATAACTGATATTCAATTTTGGAAATCAAAATTACCTTATTAAAATAAGGTAATTTTTATTCCTTCAAGATTGAATATATAATTTTCGCAGTACTCCATCCCAACCTTTATGTGTTTGAGAGAAAATACTTTTTTGATTACGACCTGCTGCTCAGTTCATTAATTTTACATTTTTAAACGATGTAATGGATAAAAAATTACCACACAACCACAGGCTCGTTGTTCTAACGGTAGCAATATATTGCTGATGATCATCGGGTCGTGAGTTCAACATTTTTCTAATTAATTTATAATTTTTCTGGAAAATATTTCTGTGATTTCACCTCGATACTAAATAGGTGGTAGGAATATCGAAATTCCACTCGAGTGACGAACCGTCCACAGATAAAAAAGCCGTCAAGTGTAATCGCGTTTCGATTTAAGCCCGTAGATTTCCGAATATCCAAAGCCAAAATAGGTCTCTTAGGATATTTCACCTATCATCAAGAGAACCTTATGCTCATATGTCCTCTCTATCATAAAAAAAACATCTCTTAAAAATCTGTTTATTATTTTTACAGCTTTTTATAAGACAAAACGCGGTACCAATATTATTAAATGCACTTAAATAATTTTTACATGGTATTGCTCATGATGGCACTATATAGATTAAAAGACTAAAATAAATTGAAAAAAAATTTTCGGCTCGGGCAGGAGGCTAGCTCAATTGTTTAGAGTAATGGCACGGAACGCTGACGATGCCAGTACAAGTCCTGCCAGAGCCGAATTTTTCAAAATTGATTTCGTTATCGTTTTTTAATTCTAAATTGGATGAATTCAAAAAATAATAGTCTATCCACATTTTCTAATAGGCGGTCATCAATAGTATCTTTATTTAGTGAAAATTTACCCGTACCATTTATAGCAAGTGGCTGCGAGTACAATATTAAACGCTCCGTGCATTGGGTGGCACGGTCCACGGCCCGGATGTTTCGAGCTGAAGTTAAACTAACTTCCGCTTTCCTGGTAATCACATTTCCTTAATGTTTCTGGCCGAACTGAAAATATGCTCCCAACCTCATTGTTTACCTTAACAGACACGATTTAACAAAACCTGTTTGCGTTCTACCAACTCAATTAAAACTTTATTTTAGTGTGAAATCAATTTTCGTGCACTGTCAGTGTTCAACGGATTTTAATGCGTACTCAATATTTCTTGTTGGGAGTTGAAAATGTGATTTACGCGGTTACTGTGTACGCCATTTTGTTTTTGCGCTATTGAACTTCAGAACGTACTAGTGAAGAATTTTTATGTCTGGATTGAAATTCAATAAAATGAATATATCTAATTTTAAAGACCTAGAGCGGAACACAATAAAACTAGTTCTACTTTCGATATTAATAACTAACACAACACTAAATTATTTCAAAGTAGGACAGATTAACTAAATATGTCTATGTACACGAGTAGTACACATTTAAATAAAACACTTTAACGGTTTAAAACGCGATATACAAGTTACCTTTTTGAAAATGATTTTTAACTTCGGCCCGACGTATCAGATTAACTAATATCGGACAGAGTCACTGCTTAGACAAGTTGTCGGCACAACTGAACTCCATAGAAATGTTTTTTTTTTGTAAATTTTAGCGTATTGAACCTCTACTGACCGAATACTAACCGGACGTTTCGCCGTTTGGACGGCGTATTTGCGGCTAGACTAAGGATGCCCGTAAAAATGAGCCGCGCACGCACTTGTATACTTGTCACCACTACTTCTTATCCCCAACTTTATAACATCAACTAATATAACAATGGTTTACGATACACATCCACAATATAGTACGTCACAATGGCTATAGAAACATAGTACAGCAGTGCTTAATCACACGTACTTAGATAACGGCGTTATTGTTCGACAATTCCTAGCCCGTTCTAGCTAAAATATTTTTATTCAACAAATATAAAGCCTTATAAGTTACTATATAGCAAGGGAAACTAAAACCGCACGAGGCTATAATTTAATTTATACCTCACTGAACATTTTAATTGGGTTTGGTTTCAATTACGACGTATAAGTATTTTGAGCCTGACGAGTGTCCATCGTACCTACGCGTTATCTACGCCGAGAAAATTCTCGTGTTTTCCATATTCTGTTGGCGCATTACCATAATATATTATGTTACATTTTTTAGCTGGACGGTTTTAAACGAGCTTTTTTTAAATACTTTGAAATTTAATTTGAATTTTCAAATCGCTCAAAGCATATTTAAAGAGTTAAAGATGA